GAACATATCCTGAGCTTTTGTTCAACACAGATCTTATTTTAGGCGTTTAACCAAAAACCCATTAAAAAAAAAAAAAAACTATAAAAGTATCTCGATACTAAAATAACACTTGTCATTGTCTTCACATATGTCATTGTCATTTCACTAGACATTATGACAGGTCAAAAACATTTTTATAAAATTAAGCATGCACAGATGAATCTTTCACAATAAGCTGCATTTAGAAAATAGATTTTTGGAACATGTAAAAAGCTGACTTCACTATTATTTCAGATTGGCTAGCATGCTGTAGAAATGTGAGGATGAGGATGGGTCAGATGAGTGTGTGTGAGTGTGAGTGTGAGTGTGAGTGTGAGTGTGAGTGTGCGTGCGAGTGTGAGTGTGCCTGCGAGTGTGCGTGTGCGTGCGAGTGTGCGTGCGAGTGTGCGTGCGAGTGTGTGTGAGTGTGAGTGTGTGTGTGCGCGCGAGTGTGTGTGCGCGAGTGTGTGAGTGTGCGTGTGTGTGAGTGTGCGTGTGAGTGAGAGTGTGTGTGTGAGTGAGAGTGTGTGAGTGAGTGAGAGTGCGAGTGTGTGAGTGTGTGCGTCTGACCTGAGGCCGTCTGCAGCGTGACGCCCGCGGGGATCTGCACCGGATACGTGATTCCAGCCGGCAGAGAGAAGGTCGCGACAGAACCACAGCTGCTCTGAAACACATGCAGAGTCTGTACACTTTCATTTCACTCAAAACTTCACCTGAGCAGATCAGCATCTACAGGAGCTCAGTGAGATCTTAAAGGAGAACCTGCATTATTTAATATGTGTGCTCAATATTAACCCTGTAAAGCCTGACATGAAATAGTCAGAAAAAACAAAGTTTATTAAACCTTTAAACAAAAAGAAACTAAAATTCAAAATTAAACATTACAAAATGTGTTTTATGTTATCTCCATTTGACCCTCTAACTCTAGCACTCTCTGTTCTAAATCTATTTTTTCTATTAGTTTTTTTTAGAAAAAACACTTGCATTCTCTATTCTATCTACTTGTTTTATTTTTATTTATTATACATTTTAAAAAGCCTTGCTGTATATACTGCATTAGCCTAACTGAGACTTGTCACAGCACTTACACATTACTGCTCTTTTGTTGGATTGATTGCTTCTATTGTCCTCATTTGTAAGTCACTTTGGATAAAAGCACCTGCTAAATGGCTGTGAAAGTGTTAATGTAATGTGTTGTATATAATATTTGATCCATAAGGCTTTTATGGCTCACATAGTCTGATACAGTAAGAATGCGGAGGGGGAAAAGGGCTAAATTTTATTCAGAGACGGAGCAAAAATATGCTGCAAAATATTCGCTGCAGATGCTGATATTTATACGATGAAATTCTGATGCTTATGATGTAAATCAATGAGATCTTTATAACAGTATACAGCAGATACTGACATAAAATTATCTAAATATCAGTCGTGGCTCTATATCTCCAGTAATAAGATGAGATTGAAATGCTCCAAACATATAATGCAGTGATTGAGAGCTGAAGAAATAAAGGCTCCTCAGAAGATGTGAGATGTTCTGGAGGCTTGTGAAGATCATTCCTCCGCTGAGGAACAGTGAAAGTAAAGCTTCTGGAAACAAACGCTCCTCAAAAGATCCTGAGGATCAGATTTGAGACTCTAAAACATGATTGATGGAGAATCAAGTAAAGCTGAGCTGCTTCAGTCCAGTAAGTGTTCATCTGGAGATATTACTGCAGTTATTCTGAAGCTTACTTGATCAAAATCAGTCAAGATTTGACACAAGAAGCTCCAGCTGAAGCTGGACGTTTGTACAATTACACTAAAAGAGCTTTGACTGGATAAAACACTCTAAACTATCAGACGACAGAAGAGATTGAGATTGAAACAGGTTTAACAGCTAAGTTTGATCATTTAGAGCCTTAGAAAATCATGATCAAATATGATACAGCAGCTTCATAGGATCAAGCATGAATCACTGGATAGACAGTTCAAGAGGTTATAATGCGGAGTACTGAACATGATCATCTGAAAAACCAGTGACCTTAAATAGCTGTGAAATATATCCTGTACACTACAGATGGTCTGTGTTTGTTGACTTACTGCTTTGGAGGAGAAACTCGGCACATTCTGAGCTGCTGGAATGACAACTGAGAACAGACAGCAAAACATCAAATATAAATGAACAGAAACAAAACAGACAAAGTGTGAAAGCAAATGCATGTTGTGAGAGACACTGATCACAGGTAATGAATGATCAGTGATTGAGATCGCAGTAACTGAAACCAGCATGAGTTCATTCAACTAGAGGTACTGGTCTCTGGTAAAGCAAATGAAGTGCTAGTGTTACAAACATGTTAAACATTGCAGTTTAGGCCGTTTAACCTGATGCTAGCAGCTGTAATGGCGTGTATTTATTACGATTGCATTAGCTGTGGACTGAAAACACAGTGATTGAGATGCAGAACAGACCGGTGGGTTTATGGAGACTCTGAGAGTAGTTTGCTGGAAGCTGCAGAACAAAATTGGACGGATTGTTGTCTTTCATGAAACCCTCCACAGCCTTAGACTGAATGACCTTTGACTCCCAGAGCTGAAACACAGTAAAACACACACACACACACACACACATCAGAGCAACTACCCTTGTGAAAATTAACCATGGATTTTCTTCAAATAAAACCAAAAAAACATGGTTACTATAGTTAAACAACTATGGTGTTGCGACACTAACCATTGTTTGCCCATGGTATTTCTACTAACCCTATGGTTATACAAATTGTAATCAATGTGGCAAAACAACAACAAAGTTACTTTTACTACCCTGCTGGAAAAAAAAAACAATAGAAATAGAAACCATCACAGAAATTCTAATGGTTTCCACTACAAATACCATTACAAACCATCAACTTTTAACCATTAAAACCATTAAAAAATGGTTTTCCATAGTGTGTTTTGGGACATATTCCATTGGGATTTAGTGGTTTTAACAAGTCACCAATAGAAGGCGACACATTAGCAGTAGAGACCCACAGCGACCAATACAGTTTCCATTAAAACCAGAACAACTCCCATCATAACTAGTAAAACCATTACAATCTCTCTGATGGTTTCTATTGTTTGTTTGTTTTGTTTTTTCCCAGCAGAGAGGTATACAGCACGCGGTGCGTGGGGGCCCCGTCGCAGGACATTCTAAAAGGCAGTTCTTCGAGACACTGCAAAAGACGCGAGACGAGAGCGCAAAGGTAGTGCAGTGGAGCCGGCTTAATCTTCTAAAACAACAGCCGGGGAAAATACTTTTTTTTCCTCACATTTCACTTGTAATACACACTATACTCCTAAGACAACCGCAACGTAATCGAAGTGGATTTTTTTTATGCTTAAAGCGGCTTATGTGCGGAGCCCCACACATGACATGCAGGGGGGAAAAATAGTAAATTGTGCGCACGATATAATTTGTTCCCTCATTTTACTAAATCGTGCGCACAACTTACTAACTCGATCCCTCCTTTTAAGTAAATTGTGCGCACGATATAATCATTTGTTCGTTGATTTTATTCAACTAAATCCTGGCCACGATTTAGTATTCGTGCGAACAATTTAGTAAAACGAGATAACAAATTCGTCTTCACGATTTTATTATTATTATTAGGTGCGTTTGACTTGAAGCACCGCTACAGACGGCAGTCAACGAGAGTAGCCGCTTGCAGTCGGGGGAGGAGGTGAAAACGGAGCCGTCAAGCCGGACACTTTCTGCTCCCGTTAGTGACGCTCGCGCGGTGTTTGCATACTCTATCACAGATGAAGTGAATTAAATGCAATATTTGTCAAATACACACACGTTTCAGAAACGTTTTCATGAGCAACAGAAACACTTTTTATATACTGCTTAATTCAGCGCCATCTGTTCAAGAATAAAGTTCAACGTAAATATATACTATTTAAATACTAATAAAGTGGGGGTATATATGCTTTCATGATAAACGTGACTCAATATAACATTGCGACTACAGTAAAAAAGCTTTTACTGTTCTAAAAACACCATCTGTGTTTAGACAGTGCAAAAATAACTTTTTATTAATTGTATGCTGCGTGTGTTATTTTATTAAGTATTTGACTTGAAGTTTTCCCCTATATTGCGTTGCCATGGGGCGTAAACGCGGTCATTCGAACAACTCTTCGGCTGATGCTAAGGTGGCTAGCGTTAGTATTAACGCGTGCTCACCAGCCAGCAGTGGTCATGATTACGTTGTTTCTTGCGCGAGCGAGGAAGATACGTTCAGTTTAGCGCTGGAGACCTATCAGCCTCCTTAATAATGATAATAAATTGTTTGCCCTTATTTTCTCTAAGCATTTTAAGTTGGTTTTGAACTCCATTATCGATGAAAATCAGTCAGGTTTCATGAAAAATCGTCATATTTTTAATAATATTAGACTTGTCTTTGACCTCATTGATTACTCTGACTATATTGAGGACGATAGTTTAATTCTGTTTTTGGACTTCTTCAAAGCTTTTGACACTATTGAGCATCCTTTCATTTTTTTTTGTTTAGAGTGTTTTGGTTTCGGGCCTTATTTTTGTAATGCAATGAAAACGTTGTATGCTGGGAGAAATAGCTCAGTGAAATTAGGACACGGTACTACACAGAGATTTCTTTTAGAAAGAGGTATTCGGCAAGGCTGTCCAGCTTCCGTATATCTCTTTCTTATTGTAGCTCAAGCCTTCTGTCATTTTATTAAGGATAGTAAGCTAGAAGGAATTCATATTGCTGGGAGAAGTATTTTAATTAGTCAACTAGCGGATGATACAGCCTTATTTTAAAAAAACTCGAGCCAGGCTCATCAGGCAATTAAAAATATACAGTTGTTTTCTAATGCTTCAGGTTTGTACCTTAATATAAAAAAATGTGAAATATTAGTCTTAAAAAATTCCTCCCTTTTATCTGTGGATGGTATTCCAGTTAAAGAAGCTGTTAATTACTTAGGCGTTGGGCGTTGTCAAAGTGAACAAGATAGAGTTTCCCTGAATTTTAACCCTGCTTTTGAAAAGATAAAAAGAAAAAAGAAAATTTGGTTATTAAGGGACTTGTCCCTCAGAGGTAGAGTTCTTCTGTCAAAAGCAGAAGGAATTTCTAGATTAACCTATATTGCTTCAACCATATATCTAGACAATAAAACTGTTAAGTCTATCGATCAGATTTTATTTAATTTTTTATGGAAGAACCGTGTGCACTACATTCGTAAATCTGTTGTCATAAATTCCCTTAAAAACGGTGGACTTGACTTTTTGGATTTCTCTACTTTAAATAATACTCTCAAAATTAATTGGTTAAAATTTTGTTTGAATAAACCTTCTTTGTGGAATTTCATTCCTAATTTTATCTTTGACCAACTCAGGGGTCTTTCTTTTTTACTAATGTGTGATTATAAGATTGAGAAATTGCCAGTGAAGCTATCTGCCTTTCATGCTCAAGCTTTGTTGGCTTGGAAACTGATCTACAAGCACAACTTTTCTCCGCAGCGTTATTTTATTTGGAACAATCGTTGTATTTTGTTTAAACATAAAAGTATTTTTTTGAAAAGCTGGTTTGATAAGGGTATTGTCTTAGTGTGTCATTTGTTTAACACTCAAGGGTATCTTATGATATATGATGAGTTTCTTGTACACTTTAATTTTCCTGTGACTCCCAAGGAATTCTCTCTCGTTTTCTCTGCAATTAATTCTGCTATAGTTTCCTTATTTAAAGATGTGATATTGGTTGATATGCCCATAGTCAGTCTAACTGATACAATATGTGGTAAAATTTGTTTTTCACAGACTAAAAATAACAAGTCTATTCGTTCTCTATTTTTAAAGGAGATTGCTACCAAGCCTTGCTCTATTGCTTATTGGACTAAATTTGTTGGAAATCCTAAGTGGGAAAGCATTTGGTTATTGCCTCACAAGTTCTTTGTTACAAACAAGATAAAAGAAATCTGTTTCAAAATATTTCATAAATTCTATCCTGTTAAACATTTTCTCAGTAAGTTTAAGAAGGATATTGATGTTAACTGCTCTTTTTGCTCTTTGCACTTGGAAACTGTACCCCACATCTTCTGGCACTGTAGTTATGTTAAAAAGTTATGGTATGATGTCTCTGTTTATCAAAGAAAAGGTACTCTTTCATTTTAATTTGTATTTCGAAAATGTAGTTTTTGGATATTTTAAGTATGATAATGTAAATAACGAAGTTTTTGTTATTAATCTATTTATTTTGTTGGTTAAGTTTCACATTCATAAGTGTACATTTTCTAACAAAAAACCCTGTTTTACAGTGTTTTTTAAAGAGTTGGAAAATTACTTGTGTACTATTCAACATAGTACTAATAGAAAGGCAATTAAAACTGTCAGTTTGTGTTCTGTCTTCAAAATCTTTGAGTAATGTAAAGGTCATGCATTTCTCTGATTGTGTGTGTGTGTGTATGTATGTATGTATATATATATATTTTATTTTTTTTTTCTTTTATCCTTTGTTACCATGGCTTTGTATTGCTTTGTATATGTCGTTTACAGCATAATAAAAAAAAATAAAAAAAAATAAAAATTCTAACCGGCATGCACTGCTTCAAGTCAGCCGCCGATCGGTTTGCGCGGCGCCGCATGAAGTCGAACGCACTATTTGCATTTCACGTGAGGGGCTCTGTATGCTTCAAGCAGGGCTTAAAGATTAGAAAAAATTTGTTTCACTCCGAGCAGAATCTGCATTTTACCGCTTTCTGTTCATGCGTTTCTCTGTATTATTACCGTTCTGAAACCGGTTTGAGTAGAAAAAAATGGTTAGCGTTATTTTTTTTTAACTTTGGCTTTGTCTATTCTAAGACACTACTAAGTAGTGTCTTAGACTACTACTACTACTACTGCTAATAATAAAGTACACAGCGTTTTCTTTCGGCTACTCAAAAAGAAAAAATCTTGCAGCCTAAATTGCGCTTAGTCATAGCCAGCATCATTTTCTAGATTTTGGCCAAATGTTTAAAAAGAAAAAAAAAGTGTCAACACTTTTAAGACATTAAAGTATTTTTTTCAAGATATTTAAAATGTTTGCTGCATGGTTAAAAAACGCTACTTGCATAAAATTGCGTTTCGAGAGGAAAAAACAGCCTACGTCGCATTTTATTATTACATTCAGAAATAATGAAGACTAAAATACCGGTAAATCAAAATGTTTACAAACATTATAAACACAGGCTATTTTATTCCCTTCCCTCCACAACAAATCCTCTAAAGTTAACAGTATTTAGGCTATATAAACGTCAAGCCAAAAACAAATTAATTTAAAGGGAAACTAAAGCCAACGCTGGTTGGTCATACAAGCAAGACATCATTCATCACTGTATAGCCTTGGCAAAATAATAATAATAATAATAATAGAAAGAAAGAAAAGAAAAGAAAAGAAAATAAAACTGTAACGCTTTTACAAAATAGAGAACGGCTTTCCGCCTGGTTTTAACTTTGTGAACTGTGGATCTCGTCACAATGAATAGAAACTCGGCAAAACTGTTTTTTTCTTTCGTTTTGTTAATCTGTTAATGATTTAAGTGAAATATATTTATACGTTTTTTTGTGCTCTGCTCCGCTGACCTGTTTCAATGGCAAACGCTTTAGCAGTTCACTGTTTGTCATGCAATTCATCGTTCGTTCTCGAAATTGAAAGTGATCAAGACATTTCTCTGGAGCACAATGTTACAAGAAAGAAGACTGTCCAGTTATCTCTAAGTACTGAGAATGCCCGCGCTCGCTACATCGACATTAAAGCTGCAGTCAAAGACTTTGACAACAAAACGCGTTTCTTACTGAAAGACATGAACTTTGCTTGTATAATCGAACAGTTAGCGAGTCTTATAGGACAGTGTTTGAACTGAAACGTGCTGGCCATTAGCCTACACGAAATGCAGTTGAAAATGCAGTTGCATGAAATCAGTTATGCAAATTGAAGAAACGAACTCCGTAGTATAATTGCAGCAGGTGCAAAATACATGTTCGTAAATGACATCGCTGCTGGTGGGAGGGTCCCCATCTCGTTCTTTGCGGGGGGCCTCTAAGGCTGCGTTTACACTGGTCTTTTCAGTGTGTATGTGACCACATCCGGACACAGGTCGCATGTTGATGCCAAGTGTAAACGCAGCCAGATGTGCGGGTATGCCACTGTAGTGATCACATTATCACCATCAGAAATCAGCGCAGCTCACAAGCATGTTTAATATTATATCATGTCAAAGCGAGTCTTTAATAGTTGACGGTTACCTGTCTGAGGTTGTCCAGCACTCGTTCCTCCACTCCTTCATCACAAAACAGCTCTCTGATGCTCTCGATCACATCCTCGATGACGGACAGATACAGCTTCGGCTGAACGATCAAGCACACTGTATCTCAAATCTCTCATCACTTTCACACGAACTAAACGCGTTTGAGAAGCGTTCCTGACTCACCAGCGTGTTAGCGCTTGACAGCATCATCCTTCAGCTGACACAGCTGGCCGTCAATTAAGAGTTTATGAAGCCCTGATCTTCTTTAAACTCATTACAAACCACAGTAAACGAGACACTGATGCTGCGCTGCCAGTGGTCGATGCATAAATCACAAATGATCACACAATGAGGTGAAGAAAATATGATGCAAAACATAAAATGAGGGAAAACTGGACGCGTCCCTTTAAGGCGTAAACGACGTCACAACCTAGTTTGCATTAAAACAAACAAACAAATAAAAAAAGAATAAATAAATACTTTCTCTTGCTTTTCAGAAAGTGACTTATGTTACATAATCTGTAATCTGTATTTATTTATTATCAAGCGTCTGATCAAAATCTGATTGTAACTAATTGTTTCCGCAGTTTCCGTTCCACTTCCAACTGGTTAGGTTTATTTGTTAAAGTCATTTCTATATGTTATCCTTTCAAAAGACTACAAAATAATAATAATAATAATAATTCATTACATTTATATAGCCCTTTTCTAGACACTCAAAGCGCTTTACATTGTGAGCGGGTCTCTCCTCATCCACCACCAGTGTGCAGCATCCACCTGGATGATGCGACGGCAGCCATAGTGCGCCAGAACACCCACCACACACCAGCTTACCGGTGGAGAGGAGACAGAGTGATGAAGCCAATCAGTAGATATGGGGATTGTTAGGAGGCCATGATGATCAGAGGCCAATGGGCAAATTTGGCCAGGATGCCGAGGTCACACGTCTACTCTTTTCAAAAGACATCCTGGGATTTTTAATGACCACAGAGAGTCAGGACCTCGGTTTAACGTCTCATCTGAAGGACGGTGCTTGTTGACAGTATAGTGTCCCCGTCACTATACTGGGGCATTAGGACCCACACAGACCACAGGGTGAGCACCCCCTACTGGCCTCCCTTACACCTCTTCCAGCAGCAACCTAGTTTTCCCAGGAGCTCTCCCATCCAGGTACTGACCAGCTCAACCCTGCTCAGCTTCAGTGGGCAACCAGTCTTGGGCTACAGGGCGATATGGCTGCTGGTAAATGTCATCTCCCCATCATCGTTATATATTAAATATCATTCCCCCTCACTCTAACCTTCGTGCTTCACTGTCAGGACAATGTATTGACTGTGGTAGTGCTTCCTGTGGGTGGATGTTGATGTAAACTGACACCTAGATGAATACTTTACAGTTGGTTTCATGACTGCAAGTCATTCTCTTCAAATGCTAAGGAACATGTATACCAATGTCGTATGTAACTTTAAATATAAATAAATAATACATTTTTTAAGATAAACTATATTTGTAATTCTTCTACACACTCTAAAACAGTCTGTTGCTTTTTTATTGTACTGTTTTATGTATCTTTCTAAACTTTTAATTTATACTGAATTTTTTTAATGTATATTTCGTATGTTGTTTTATGTGAATGGTTGAGAATGCGGGATACCAACAGAATTGAGTTGTTTTGCACAACAGTACAATGACAATAAAATCTCTTCAACTCTAAGAGACGGTCCATAAATTTGAATGCCCAACAACAAGCCAACTTTATGCCAGTGAATCAGACTTGTACTGCTGTGAATCAGTGAATCAGACGTGTACTGCTGTGAATCAGTGAATCAGACTTGTACTGCTGTGAATCAGAGAATCAGACTTGTGCTGCTGTGAATCAGACATTCAGACTTGTGA